AACAAAAGTGGTCCTAAAATTGAACCCTGCGGTACCCCACTATGAACGCAGGCCCACTGTGACATCGAGCCTGAGCCTGTGACATCGAGGACAATAATGCATGGATGTATCGGCTATTGGGGAGAAATCTTATGCGTAAGCAATGCCTCATGCAGTTCTGCATATTACTCCATTATTTTGATTTAATGGCACCAGGCCGAAGCTCACCTTACCCTTTTCTCTGAAAAGTCAGACTAGCTAGAGAAAGATCACTCTTTTCAGCTATATTTTCAGATGATAGAAAAACGTTTGTTGGTTACACCACTTGTTTCTGTTTTTAGTTGTTGGTTTTAGCAACCTAACTGTGAACCATTTATACGGTGACTCAGGAAGGCTCCAACCTGCAGCACTAACCTACAATGTTCTAATCATCCACGTCAACTTAGCCCAACCTTTGAAATTGATACCACAATAATTCGTTACACTTACTGCGTCAATGCTTTTCTGGAAGCAATCCTCTATGAAAAAAGAAACCATGACAACATTTTCTAAATTGAATCTCAATGATTAGAGGTTTTCTTTATGCCGCTCTAATAACCTTATCATGCACTGATGAACTGCATATCAAACAGCAAAATTCTGCACCCCACACTTGCTGCTGCTGCAGCGAATTGATTGAAGATCTACTAGCTTTTGAACAATAACATGAGTTCATGCCCCAGGGCATAATGTGAATTCATGGGTTTCTGACTGTGACTTGTTTCGCAATTATGTTGCTCAGCACGATTATTCAGTAAGTGTAGAATTATTATTGGTTCTCCAAAATTCTGGAACACATTTGGAAATGTCTTTTCAGTTCAAATGAATGGTGTCTGTTTCACTCTGGTATAAGCACAAACTCCTTGAAAACACTAAGGTGTAATTAAACTTTCATGTATACTGTTAACAATGGAAGCAGCATGCTGGCAATCAACGAATGTTAGAAAACAAACATCACCAGCATCATGTGCAGCACACAAACACAAAAAACTGCTTTTACAGACGTTCACTTTAATGCCGAAACCAAAACACAGCACATTAGCTTGGTTAATATTTAAATTAAAATATGTGCAAGGTGAGCATTACACAAAACCAGACAGCATAACATGAATTGTATAGCTGCCTAGTAGGATACCGCAAATTCTTAGTTCTTGGGACACAGTGACTTAGACAATGCATAGATTAAGGGAAAAATTTCTTCATACCTATGCATTACATAATTCGGGGTTTTGTTTCTCAAGGAAATCAATGAGAGATTTTCCGGTTAAATAATCTGTGGAACTTGTTTCCTGAATAGGTAATGCACCATCCCATTCAGGGTGTTACCCCGATGTGTGCTTTTTGCTGCCTGGTTAGGCTTCAGCTTCTACATACTTGTACAGGATAACCTGTTGGGATATGGACGCAGGAGGCCATAAAGTGGAGAAAGTTAGGGTGATTCTAAGGGTCCCTGACTGACTGAAGGTGATTGGATTGGTCTGGGGACCCAAAATCTCTAGCAACACCCCTGTATGGATGGATGAATGAATTTGTCCAGCTGAAATACACCACACCTTCATCTAACTGCATGTAATAAGCCAAAAAACTCGTCTTACTCCAGAATTTAACTGACCTCATTTCAAGAAAAGGGAAAAATTAATAGCAGAAGCCACTAAACACAGAAAATTCAAGTTCACTTAATAGACACAAATATTAATGACTTGACACCTTCAAGTTTCATAACACCCACTGCTTCATTAAAAGGACTATAGTTGTAACTACAACAACTTAAATGAGCATATTATATATTTTTTCAATGTTTGTATCAAAATATTTTTACATAATCACTTCATTTGGGGGAAAAAAACCCAACTCATTTAATCGAGATATAAACTAAGTGTAATGACATTTGAACAATGAATATGAATTCTGTGTTGTAGAAGAAAAGTTTTTCTTGACACATAGTGCTCATGGTTATATGTTTTGGATTTTTACAGAAATATGGTATTCTTGCAGGCCACAGATTTTAAGATAGAAATGTTAAAAGCAGAAAGCCCATCTCTCGTCCAGCTGCTGGTATTTGAACCCCGAACCCTGGATGCGTGAGACAACAATGTTATTCACTGAACTATCATACCACCCTGAAGCAAAACGCTTTTTAAAAAACTGTTTTCTTAAAGGTGAAGCAACTTAAAAGGTGAAGTAAACAATTTAGTTTATGGATACACTTGGCTCTGTTTTCACTAGCAATATACCCAACAGAGCCTGAACATTTGATTGCAAAGGAGACGGACAGTAAATTCACTGGGTTACATATTTTTTAAATGTGGCGGATATGAAATCAGAAATTGCAGTATGTCATTCATCTAAACCCATGTACGCGTGGTTAGCAGAGTAATCACACCACCAGTGCGTCCATGAGCAAGGCCTTAACCACATCTGCTCCCGACATCCTGTTCAGCTGTGCTCTCTGACCTTCTCTTGTACGTCACCTTAGACAAAAATAATAACCAAAAAAAACTGCTACCTCCTTTCTATCTCCTTTGATGGTGCTACTGATTCTGCATGCTAGACTTGGACCATAAAGCTCTCCAGGAGTTTCACCGGCACGCGCGTGTAAAGACCATCTTGAAGTCCAGGATTTGTCCAACTCTGCCATTTCTGTTTCATTCCATGTTCGTGTTGTCATGCTGCTCCGAGATGTGACCTGACCATCTGCTGTGTAGCAACGCCCATTATGTTGTGATGGAAAAAACCAACTAACGAAAGGACCACCCGCTCTGCACTCTTAAACACTACATACCACATGGGCCTTAATTAAACTTCTTCGCCGAATCATGCATGTGGTTCTGCAGTTATTATCTGTGAAGAGTGTAATTCTGCTACACTCTCTTTCACCTCACTAGACTCTTGTAACCTTAAGAAAGATGAATGTTACATTTATGTAGTGCTTTTCAAGACACTTAAAGTGCTTTATAGAACCAGTGGGGAGCCTCTTGAACCACCATCTACCTGGGTGATGTGACGGCAGCCATCCTGCACCAGTACCTGCACCACAGTACACACACCAGCTAAGGTGGAGAAGGGGCAGGACAGAATTCATCAGTTAGATATAGGGGATGGTTAGGAGGCCAGATTTGAGAGAGTTACAGTGGCCAATTTTAGCCAGGATATTGGGGTACCGCCCCTACTCTTTTGAAAGACGCCCAGGGATCTTTTATCACCTCAGAGAGTCAGGACCTCTGTTTTACGTCTTTATTGCCTGATTGGGTCACCTTCAGCGAGTCCACCAACCTGCTACGTATGGTACCCTGTCAACAACCGGGCTCTGTTCAGAAGTAAATGCAAACATATGCAAACACACACTAAAATCCTAGTAATGACCTGTGTGTGTGTGTGTGTCTGTGTAGATCACGTTTATATTACATTGTGGGGACCAAATGTGCCCCACAATGTGATAAAAACCTTTTATTTTGATGTTGTGGGAAACCATTTTTCAGGTCCCCACAAAGATTTGTGAATGCAATCAAAAAACTAAAAATGCCAAAAGTCTCATATTTTGTTTGGTTACTTATGGTTAGTGCTGGGAAGGGGTTAAGGTCGTCATGTTGTGATTACAGTTTTCCCCATAGAAAAGAATGGAGTTCCTAAAAAGATATAATCACAAACTGTCTGTGTGTGTATGTATGTGTATGTGTGTGTGTGGTCAAGTATATATTACACTGTGGGGACCAAAAATGCCTCCAATTTGATAAAAAACCTATTATTTTGACCTTGTGGGGACATTTCTCCATTCCCCACACAGGGGAGATTATAAAAATCTGTGAATGCAATAAAAAAAAATAAAAATGGCCAAACTCTTGTATTTTGTTTAGTTACTTATCGTTAAGGTTAAGGCTGGGTAGGGGTTAGGGTTGTCATAGTTGGGATTATGGTTATGCCCATAGAAATGAATGGAGAGTCCCCACAAAGATACAGGTGCCTAATCAGTGTGTGTGTTTTTGTGTGTGTGTGTCTACAGATGACAGTATGCTGCAGGAAATGTGAAAAAAACAAGAGTCCTTGGTATTAATGCTGGTTACTATTCATGTGAAAAGTTATTTTTGACTATTTGTGGTTTCTAGAGCAACACCAACAGAAATATTAAAGTGCCATTTGCTACAACTAAAACGAATAAGCACAATGTGAATTAATTTCTACAATTATTACAGCAATAATTGCATATCCATTGTATTTTCTCTACAAGCCCATGCAATTGTAGCACAAACTGTACCACAAACAAATTGACAAGGAACAATAGCCCATTGTTAGCCCAGGATAACAACAAAACCATCTCAGCTGATGCCTCACTTATCTTTGAGTTGATTGGTTGATTCCACGGTCACTCTTTATTAACTGCCATCCTATTCGGTTTATTTTACTGCAATGAAACTTTCTATATTGTACTCCTAACTGGCTACAGAATAGATTTTCGCATTTGACATGCTCTTAGAGAGCATCTGTTTGTTGGAGACCTTTTCCTAGGGGACAACACCTTTCATTTGTCTATCTTCCTTGTTAATTTCATAGCTATTGACAGGGAGGCTGATATTCTTGTATCTGCCACTGCATACAAACTACCCTCAATCAACAGAGGGGAAAAAAATCTTTTATTGTGAGAATACTGGCATTGAAAAAGAATGCTTAATTAACGACATCACTTATAAGTGACAAAATTTAACCAAAGCACTTTCCCTCTTCTAAGAGAGAAATTAACGACTCATGGTGTGGTCGACCGGGGGCAAAGCCAACCAGGTGTAATGGGCCTGCATTCAATTGTCTGGGAGTAGGATACAGCCCTCCCCCACTCCCCTGCCAAACAACACAATCTTCCAGATTGATTATTGCACTGTCTCTCTCAGCTACCATGCAGGGGCCAGCTGTGCTTTCCATATATGGCCGTAACAGCCCTGGTGTGGCTTGGCTCAGGCTTTTTCAGCAGTCCCCAAGGGGCTGATATACCCATTTCCTTTCATGGCCTCCCCCCAAATCGGAGCCTCGTCTCCCACTGTGATCCAGAGTCATGGCCCATGTGCCAACATCTACCACCACTTTTTCCTCCAGATTCCAGTGACCAGGGTCTGGGCCAGAACTACAGATTTTGCATTATCAAGATCCCTTTCACATCAGTTGTCCTCTCTAGCATCTGTGTATCATTAATACAAGACATTGCTACTCATATTTACAATAAACTGAAGTTGTTGGAAATGATTAATTAAGTGATTTAAGTAATGTTCCAAAAAAGGCAATACAAATGGATGTGCAAAAATAAAATACCAAACATCTACAGCACATGCAAAATCCTGAAACTATAGGTTCTTTGTTGCTGAACCAGCCCCTGATCTAATTTTATATTCAGATATGTGGCACATTGGTTAATAAATAAATACAGAATAAATACAGAAAGTGTACTGATCACATTTGTATAGTTTATGCTAGTTCACTTTCATCGTATCTTAACCCGAAGGTTACCCATATACACGGTGCTACAATTGTCGTTTTGGAGTATAAGGACAGCAGCTGAATCACACCCATTTTCTGTCCTGTGCCTCGCGAACATCGCTCTTGAGTAATATTTTTTGTCATACGCTTCATTATCAGCAAATTGTAAAACAGTATGTCAACTCATCTATAACCACAGGATGAATTCCCGTAATTCTATCCCTTTGCGCGTCACGTTGGCCGGGTGTGGAAAGATTGTATTTACTGATGGTTATTAAATGTGTGGTTCTACGTTTCATTCTACTGGCATGTCAAACTGTAAAAACTAACAGTGATCATAATTATAATATAATCCAACACACCGGGCAGCTGCTGTTCTCTTGTTCTAAAACCTACCCCATACTCTTGAAGAAAATTCAATGAAGGAGAGAATAATTAAAGAACACTGCTGGGTATAATGTGTGACAGACAGACCTTTGATTGCATTAAATACATGTTCAGATAACAACAGTTTGCACTCACCCTGCCCAAATACAGCTGGTCCAAACTAGAATCAATCCATTTTTCCACGTCCAGTCGTCTTTGCAGCTCCTTTCTGTTGTATTTTACAGTCACACGAGCTTGCCTTTTCTGAATACTGAGTCCGGATTCCCTAGTTGCCCCCCGGTTCGGAGAGTGGACTTTATTGTTACACCGTCTACCGACTCGGTTCGCTGCCATTGCCACCTTTAGTTAGACACACACACGCACATTCAAGATACCACAAGTGCTTTAGCGAAGCAGTGCTGGAAACAGCGGCGATCAGACGGTTTAAACGGCGTGACAATCGCAACGAAGTGCTTCTCTCATGGGTCTTAGTGCCCCGAGTATATACGGCTATTCATGCAGATCGCGACTTCATAATAAACTATTATAATAAATACATTATCAATAGTCATGGGCGTAAATGTCCCCCCCTATCCGAGGGTTGTATCCCCCAAAAAAATATTATTTAAAAAATCGCACTATCTATTGTGAAAAATATATGTATGTATACCTAAAATAATTCTGTAAGTAGAAAAAAAACAAACGCAAAAAATGCATTTAGAAACAGTTGAGTTCCCCCTCCCTTTCCTCACAGTGGTTTGGCCAACTGCCTGCTTTCCCTGTTCATCTCACCTACTCTACACACACGAATCAGGTGTGTGGCTGCGGCTCAATTAATGTTGAACTCCAGTAAGTAGGGTATTTTATTCACTTTAAATAAAGAGATTCTCTTTAATTTAGTTGATGCAGACTCATTCATAAATTAGTTGCGGCAAAAATGCTGATTACCGGTGTAATTTTCCATGAATCTGCTATATTAGCGATTAAAATATTACTTTTCTAGTTAACGTTAGCTTGTTTACAATAGCTTGTTGCATAGTGCACTGCAACTAACACGCCAAAGCCGTTTCCCATGCATTGTTTTATTTGTGACGACTTGGCATAATGTTAACGTAACATTAACGGCCACAATTAGCATATTGTTTAGCTGTGCATTTACTAAATGAGCACTGCGCTACGTCCGAACTGACCCCACTGTATTTTTTGTATAATCAATTTCTATTATGCATTTAAAGTCATGTTTAAATTTTATTGTATGTTGATGGCTTGACTGTAAACAACATAACAAACCATGCAATAAATAGTTTTGAAGAAAAATCTGCTTTGTCATTGAACCTGAGAAAAACTTTGAAAATAACCATAATGACGCAGTCTGCGATGGGCTGGCCCCCCATCAAGGGTTGTTCCCTGCCTCGTGCCCACTGCTTCCGGGATAGGCTCCGGACCCCCCGCGACCCAGTAGGATAAGCGGATTGGACAATGGATGGATAATGACGCAGTCTCCATGCTACAGTAATAATGATAGAAGCAAAGTTTTTCATTGTGGGGACATATCTTTATAAGTACAATTTGACTGCATTATTTGTGTCCCCTTCAAAAATTGCTCATGAGAAATTTTATATTTATTGTCCCCCCCCCCTACTGTTAAATGAAATTTACGCCCATGTCAATAGTGGGGAGAAACAGAGGTAGCAATAATGATATCTTATTATGCATAACAGAGGTAATTAAATGTGATTTATTTAGAAGTATAGCGTGTTGATGTTAATTAATAGCATTTATACATTTTCGACTATTACATGAAAAACTCATGCAGAACATTTTACAAATAAAAAGCGACATCATTTATCTCCAAAGAAATTTGAAAACTAATACAGATATTAATGACCTCATCAAAAAGAAAATATGTTTTGTACATCATTGCACTTCCCAGTCCGGTTTCTGCGGCGCATTTAATGAAAGATAGATCACAACTTCGCTTGCGTTTGAACGAATAAAAGTAAAACAAAATCGCATTTGGATAAAACGGCATTTCACCGGACACAACACCTGAGACAAAATCTTAATACGGTCAAAAAATAGGGGACCTGCGAACCACGATAAGTGTAAGAGATATTAAAAGGGCTGAACATGAGTTTCAAAAGTATTGATTCCCCTAAATAATATCACAAACAAGAACAGACAAAGTGCATTTCGTTATGAAATTCTGTTCTTTTCAGTTGGTTCAGTGTCCAGCACAGCCGTACTGCTTCGGGTAGCAGATGCTCATGAAGGCTCACCCCCCCCCCCCCCCCCCCCCCCCCCCCCCCCGCCGCACGTGCCAGGAAATGTATGACTGACTTTCGCCTATTCCGGTGTGCCTGAGGTGCAAATTTCAAGTGGCATATGTGTAAAATTCCAACAATAGCCATCACCATAGGGAAACCCCGCTCTCACACAGGAAAAAAAAAAATCATTAAAAAATATTTTAACAGTTGACAATACCGTTAAGTACTGTCACGGCAAGAATTTTAAAAAGCCTCAGAAGGTCTGTAACGTTTGCTTATTTGCCAAGAAGAGAATACATATGCATTGAGATTAACCATTCGCAAAATAAGGTTGATGTAAGTGAATGAGGTCCATGTTTTCATTTTGTTTTTATGTACAGTAGGTGAACAAAGAAGGGTTTGGGGATCTGTCCATTGTCTCTGTTCTTGCTTAGTTTGAACTACAACAACCCCACTCATGTTTGGCATTATACCTCTAATTCTTCTTACTGGATCTCCTTGAATGGAAAATAAGCAAAAGCAAAAAGAGATTAATTCTCTTAAAACTACATAGGTCTGGGATCCCCTATACATTTGAGTCAAACTATAATTTTTCCTCTAAATAACTTAAAGATATGCCTGGTTTAGGCTCACTGCACCTTGAATATGTTCATTCTTGTTCATTATGGCAGCGTTATTATAAGACGTATAATTTGGGTATAGCCCATAGCCATCGGTAAGTTTGGCAGTGAGCTGTCTGCCGTACCATTACTTGCTGACTGGCCACCCATTTCTGCTATCTCATCATCCATAATTACGTTAATGAGGCCCAACAGCAGATGGTGTTTTAATAATTCTTGGGATTTTGTGTTGTTCTTTTTGCCCACCGATGGTGGGGTAGTTCTCTTTAACTATATGAGCCTTTGAAATGAATGAATATTTGTTAAACTTTGTAGAAAAAATGCACATATTGACCAGAGGACTACTGTGTATGTGTGTTTGCATGCGTGCGTGTGTGTGTGTGTGTGTGTGTGTGTGT